CAACTCCAGAGTACCCCTGCTACTTGGTACCAGCATACTGTCAGTACTGTTAGATGGATGTCGCCAGCAGCATGGTGCTAGATTCCTGCAGGAAGCTGACCTTTATACACCTTGGTTTCTGGCATTTAGATGTCTCAGTCTAAGGGAGAAGGATCTGGCAAGGAACAACTTTAGGCTTGGTATTGTGAGAAGTTCTGAGGAGAAGAACATCAGTGTGTCTCCAAACAGCTCTGTAGTGGTTAAGTCATATGTCGACAAGGAGATACCATATCATCCAACATGCGCCTTATTACAGCCAGGGAAGGACTGTATTACATCTCAGTCGGAATTGGACTTGAATCCTGCTATGATTCATTATCATTACAAAGGAAATAGGAGTTTACATGTCCAGTTGTTCAATATGTCCAACCACACTATGGTCATTGCACCCCGAGCGGTTCTCTGCGAGATCACGCCTGTCAATATTGAGGGTAAGGAGTATGTTGAGACTGAGGAATTACGTCAGAAGTTTGATGACATATTTGAGAAGTCGGAGATTGGCTCTGGTACCCTGTCAGAGGATAAGGTTGCAGAAGTAAGGAACATTCTAGCTGGGTTTGAAGATGTATTCTCCCACAATGATGAGGACATTGGATTTTCATCAGCTGTCAAGCATCGAATAGTGTTGAGTAATCCTACTCCTTTCAAGCAGAGACACCGACGTATCCCACCGTCCATGTATGAGGAGGTCAGGAATCATCTACATCAGCTGACAAATACTGGAATCATACGACCGTCTCATAGTCCTTGGGCTTCGCCTATTGTGTTAGTGCGCAAGAAAGATGGACAGTTAAGGATGTGTATAGATTTCAGAGAATTGAATGACAGGACTATAAAGGACTCCTATGCACTTCCAAGAATAGAGGAGATACTCGAGGCTCTGACTGGTACTAAGTATTTCACCGTCTTAGACATGAAGTCTGGTTATCATCAAGTGGAGATCGATGAAGTTGATAAGGAACGGACAGCATTTACAGTTGGACGGACCATTGGGCTTTTATGAGTTTTAGAATGCCATTCGGGCTAGACAACGCGCCAGCTACTTACCAACGGCTGATGGAAGAGTGTTTAGGTGACCTACATCTTCAGATATGCCTCATCTACCTGGATGATCTGATAATTTTTTCAGATACAGTGGTGTCAGCGTTTCAGTTGACAAACGGAATGGAATGAAAACGCAATGAAAACGGAATGAAACAAGGCCTAAACGGAACGGAACGAAAAACAATTTACTGTTTGGAACGAAACGCGAATAGAACGGAACGAAACATGTTTTGCTCACAGGAACGGAATGGATTGAAAGTAGGTGGAACGAAACGCGAGGATTGATTGAAAACGAAATGGAATAAAACGATCTGAGAAGATAACTATTTTAATCGAGATTTCCTATCTATGGTGGCTAGTTACGATAAATTAGCAGTAGATATAATTTTTAGTAAATAAATACAAATTTGCATATTTGTTTATCTACTATACGTATATTTATTCCATATCTTAGGTTTCTAGCCGATATCAGAGACGCATAATTAATCGTTTGTTTGTGAATGCAATGTTTCGCCGAATGATCTGTCCGTTGTTAAAATAATATATGATGAACGTACTTTCGCTTGACGATTTCACAAAGCATCCAATACATATTAGGGTTGTACATTGGGAGAAAGGAAGACACATTTCGTCCCGAGTATTTCTAGACCATTTACTTTTAAAACCCTCCAATTAATTCAGGACGAATGGATAGTTTTACAAACGTGCTGAAATGTTAATCTTGCGTCTCAATTTATTGTAGACGTGTACCTCCCTATCAAAAAACATACCTAATAGACCTACTACAAACAGACGTTCGGTAAACAATGCAACTGCAGCGCCGCATTCTCGACGGTACCGTAAATAAAACTTATAAACGCTCTCGAAATGTATCCGGCATTTGAGAGATCACAATTCTCACCGTACTGCGGATGAAACGAAGATGTAGTGTTCCTTCTAGCCTAAATAATTCTTTATTTAAATAATCATACTTTGCTTTGAGAATTATTAGCTTCTAGCTGTTTTTTTTTTATCAAGTTGTATTATTACACAAGAAAAAAAGTGATAGACTCTATAAATATTTAACCAGAATTTGCAATATATATATTATTTGTATATAGTCAGTCAGCATGTCCTGGCAGGATTAAGATTAATGAAAGAATTGTAAGACATTCAGCTTTACAATATTTGAGGAAACTGATCAACCTTGTCTGGCCTTCAGCTTTTATGAATATTTTCTTGTGTATGGACTTTAAACAAATCTGATGTGTTAGTTAATAATAGAAAATATTCCCCTACCTGGAGGGTGCAGACACAGAAATCTCCAACCAAATAAATGATTATTTTTAGTTGTCAAACTGTTACTAGGACAACCAAATAATCACACCAAGGACCTAACCTTACTCCTAGTCAATATTACATGTATGTATAAACTGTAAAAACTGAAGATTTTTTTTTATCATAAAGACCGATTGTCTAAGAACAACCATGATCTCATAGATATGCATAATCTTTCCAGATATATCATAGCACACTATTCCATGGATATCTGAGAAAATATTCTTTTAAAGCAATAAGTATATATTTCTATAATTATAATTTCTATGTAATTCCAGCCTCGGCAAGCTTGCTCAAAAGGCGTACATGTCCTACTTCTTGTAGATCATCGGGAGATTTTAAAAGTTAATATTATTTACCCCAATACTTATATATATATAGGGATGGTTTGCTAGCAACATAATTAGATCAACATTTGTAAAACAAAATCAATTGATCTGTTCCAGTTCTAATTAAAAAAACACACACATCTTATTATTGTTATTGTAATAAGAAGAATACCAAAATAAGCAGCTTAGTTTCAATCTAAGAATGATTTGACCAAGACTTTTGAAAGGGATTTTGGAAAGATATTGGGTGTTATAGTAAAAGGCACTGAAGGAATGGCACTCAACAAGAAAATGAAATTGTTGCTAATGTCGGCTTACTAGTGTCATAAAAACATATGGTACAAAGAATTTCCACAACTCCTCAACATTTTGCTTCTTTATCTCAATAGAGATAGTGTATTAATTTTGAAAAAGAAAAACTCATATCAGCTCTTTTTGATAAAAATGAATATCAATAACTGCAGTTAGATAAACATGATAAACAATGTGGTACTCTTTAATTGAATAGAAAATTACATAACTTGACAGGATAATTCAACATTTTATTGGTCATAACAAGCAGAACATGGCACTATAGTAATACATGTACATAACAACTGAATATCATCATGGAATTACTCAAAATAAGAAATCACCACGCATTTCAAACATATTTTAGTACATTTTTACAGAGTTTTTAGTAATAAAGATATATTGGTATACAGGCGAAATAAGTTTTTATTTTATTTTTTCAAAATATTCCCCGACAAGTGATTGGCCAGAAGTGGATCACGTGTCCACCGTTAAAAATCGATATCGACTTGGAGCGTGTGATTTTTGTTGAAGGACTGGGTGTTTCTAAACATAGAACTATGACGTGTCTCCAAATGAACGCTCTATGTCCTTGGTAAATATATCTTTTCTCAGGTTAATAAATCCAGGTGTCGACTTCAACCAAAGGCTATAATTGAATAGTATCTAATGTAGGTTTCCTTTACCATAAACAATGAAATTATGGCTACTTAGAAGTCAATTCAATGTTTTAACAAATTTAAACATATGATCCTGAAATTGGGTCAAGGTCATTCATTTGAATAAAGTAGACAGCCCGTCTATTTTATAACCCTTCATCCCAGTATGTTATTGGCTAAATATCATCCCCCTAGATTTCTTTGATATTCAGAAATAGTCATATATTTTAAAAGGTTTTACACATTTGACCTGTGACCTTGAAGGCTAGTCAATGTCATTCAATTCCACATACATCATATCCCCTCATTCTAGCATGTTAATTACTCAATATCCCCACCCCAGGCCTCCTTTTTTTTTGCAACCTTGAATATAAGTCAAGGTCATTCATCTCAAC